GGCGCCCCCGCCGCCGCGCCCGGCAGGGGCACGTTCCCCGATGGCAAAATCGCGATGCCGTCGGGGCAACGGCCGTTGCGACAACCCCGCGAGCCGCTGGGACGCGACAGCAAGCCGCTGGGACAGCCCCCCCGAACACCGAGGTAGTTTGTCGCGGGCGCGCTCAGGCGGGAGGAAGCACGAAGCTCAGCTTTGCCGCGAGCTTCTCCGCCTCAGCCCTGGAGTCCACCGCTCTCTGGTTGAACTCCTCGAGCGCCTTCCGCAGGGACGCTGGCGGCCCGCGTTTCAGGAACTCTCCGCCTGGGCGGCCGCAGGGTCAGCATGTTCCGCATGCGCGTGGCGCGGGAGAACATGACGTAGAGGTGCAGCCACTACTGCTCGTCCGACATGACATGCCCGTGCCCACGCGTGAGGAACGCCTCGTGATGTGCCCCTTGGGGGTGCTCAGCTGCTATGCCTGGTAGAGTTTGCCGATGACTCGCTCGGATTACCAACGTGCGGTGCGGGCCCCACAGGCGGGGGGGCCTCGCTGGAGAATCCATCGCAATTCGCTCACAGACGAAGCTCCCTCCTGATACTTCCTCCATATTCAGTCAGTCCCGCGGAGCCGAACACGAGGAGAGCTCCAGGTTTCCGATGACCCGCTCGGATTACCAACGTGAAGTGCGGATTCCATAGGTAGGGGGTGCTCGCCTGAGGTCCCCTCACAATTTATTCACAAACGAAGCTCCCGCCTGAGAGTGGCTGAGTGGAGCCAAAAAAGCGAGGACAGCTTGAGGTTTCCGATGACCTTCTCGGATTGCCAACGTGAGCTGCGGACCCCGTAGAAAAGAGGCTCCCGCCTGAGACTTCTTCGCCATTCACTCGCAGACGAGGTTCCCGTCTGAGACCTCCTCAATACCCAGGCTTGAGGAGCCCAAAAATGACGCCAATTACAGAAATCCGATGACCCGTTCAGATTGCCAACGTGAGCTGGACGCCATAGGGAGGGGGGTCCCGCCTGAGACTTCCACGCGAATCACTCACGGACGAGGCTCCCGCCTGATATGTTCTCAAAAGTCAGGCACGAGGAACCCAGGATTTCGATGACCCGCTCGGATTACCAACGTGAGCTACGGACCCTATATGGAGGCGGCTTCCGTTTGAGACCTCCTCGCAAGCCCCTGAGGGAGGGGGCTCCCGTTCGAGATTTCTTCGCGATTCATTCGCAGACTAACCCCCTTTGGTCGATGATCGTGATGGGATGGTGATAGTAATGACGATGGTGGTGTGTGCGGGTGATGATGGCGACGATGATGATGATGTCCGATGACTATGATTGGACCATGGCATGGTTATGACTGAGTGGTGGGAGCACGCAAATTAATGAGAGAATGAGTGGACGATGATGAGTGAGGGTGTAATGAAAATGGCACATGATGATGTATGTGGTGATTGCGATGATGATGATGACGGTTATGATGATTATGCGATGAGGATGATGCTGATGATGGTGATAATGACGATGGTGATGATGGTGTGTGATTGCGTGCGGAGGAGAATGGGGATGAGGATGAGGACTGCGCGGGGTGTCCGGACAAAATAATAACCCCATTTAGGAAGTAGGGAACAACACCAGCAGCAACAACAACAACAACAAAATAACAAAAACAACGACAACGGCTCCCGCCGGATACTTCCCCACAGTGTATTCCCAAATCGCGCTCTCGCGCGGGACGTCTTCACAATTTATACAGGAGTCGCGCTCTCGCGTGGGACTTTCTCGCCATTCCTTCCATCCGTCCTGTTTTCCCCTGCCTTAGGGGCTGCACGAAATACACGTTGCAGGTAAGAAAGATATAGCCCTGATAGCGGGTACGATCGAAAACGACGAGGGCGGGTATCGAGGGCTTGGGATATACGTGCTGCATGGCACGCGAGCAGATAGGAGCGAGCAGTCTTAAAATGATGGTTGCCGCGCCGTTACAAGATCAGGACGGAGGTTTCTCGCCGTTCTCAGCATGTGGAGGCCCTCGCCAGGCCCCGGGGCCCTCAAAGAACGACTCGGGATGGAACGCCAACCCCAGGGAGAGGATCGAGACGTCCGGTGACGCCGAATGGAAAAAATCAGGACGTCGCATGTTTGGGAACTGGTACAGAATAGCAGACAGACGTGCGGCAATGTTCGGGCGTCGTCGGCCCTGTCGACCTCCAGAGGAGCGACAGAGCCGCTGCATCCAGCACGCTGGGCCGCAAATCTGGAGGAGGGCGACGATGAGGACACGAGCACCGAGGGGGGAAACTAACGACGAGGCGACCGCTCGGAGTGGCCTCGGCTGATCCCAAACATACCTCTATAGTGTGTGTGTGTGCGCGTCGCCCCTAAGGGGACGACGCGCGCGCTCGGAAATCTTATAGCACATGCTCGGCGGCGGGCGCTCTCTGGCCATCCCGTTGGGGTATAACGGTGTACAATCGGATGGTCGTACCATAGGATCTGGTCGGACGCACGCCTCCAAGGCGGAAACCTAGTATCAGTATGCCCTCGTACGTCCCGTAGCCAGCTCGCAGAGCCAGGGCTGAGGCCCCAGGGGGGTTCGGCCTCTCGCTAGTCGGCTCCCTAGATCTCCGCCGACATGTTTTCGTTGTCGATCCCAGCGGCTTTCCCCTGGGCCATCATCGGGGCTCAAGGGGCGTGGGTCAATGCAAGCGGGGGTCAGCCAGGGCTCCGGATCTTGCCTGATCCTGCAGAGCCAGGGCTGCATCGACCCGGGCTTGCGCGCAGGATCCTGCAAGATGTTGTAGGAACCCGCAAAGTTTAACTGGATCAGTGCGTCCCCGACATCAGACATGGATCCCGAGCGAAAGGCAACCCCCCACGGAAGGGGTCGGGACATTTTGGGGCCGCAGAATGAAAAAATGAATCCAGTTCGACCCTAATGAGGAGACAATTTTCTTTTGCATGGGCGCAATGCTTGGCATTGCTTGGCATTGGTTGGCATTGCTTGGCGCCCGACGAACCCGAGGAACGAGGAACCCGAGGAAGCCGAGGAACCTGAGGAATCTCCGAGCAACGGGCAAAGTTGACACTAATCGTTAACCAAGTAAGAACCCCCGTTGGCGAGCCTAAGTGGGGAACGTGCAGGTGGAAGTCAGGGTACACGCAGGAGTGGCCCTTCGCCAGAGTGACCTCTGGTGCGCGGCTCTTGGGGGGGGGGGGGGCGCGGAGGAGAGGCAAGCCCTTGCACGCAAGGCGCCACACTGCCGCGCCGCACGCAGCGGCCGGCAAGACGCCGAGCACCGAACGGCCATTCTTTCTGGGCCTGGTCCGAGACATGTGTAAGTGGCTGATAGGGCAGAAACTGTCATCATGTTAAAACAATCAGAGTTTGGAAAAAAAGTTCAAGATCAACGGCACACGTGAGCGTCGCGTGCAGATGTCGTTCTCGTTGGTGCAGAAATCGCCTCTTTGTGGCATGCCCCGTGCTCGGCTGAGACACGTCCCGCGTGTAGTTGGTGGTCGCGTCGATGGTTGTCAGGACGTCGCATGTTTGGCAGACATGCGACGTCCTGATTTATTCCGCTCAGCACCCATCGTGTCCACCCCAAACGCCCGTGCTCTTTTTTCCGTATTTGAACAATCTGGAAAGACCGGCCTTAGGAGAGTTTTCCCATGCGCGGTCCCCGGAAGCCCCGGCCCTTTCCCCTGGACCGGTTTTTCATCCTGAGCCGTTCTTTTACGGCCCCGGGGCCTGGCGAGGGCCTCCAGAGGCCGAAAACGGCGACAAACCTCCGCCCTGACTCTTCCACGACGCGATCCTGTCTGGGGCGGCTTGCGGGCCACGGCTCGGGCCTCTGGCGGCCGCTCGGGACGCCCTGGGCACCCCCGGGAGCCCTCGCGGCGAGGCGCGGCGGCTGGACAAGCAACAAAAATGTCTAGCCACCTATGCTGTCCGGCACGCGGAGCGCGACAGGGGCGGCCCCGCAGGCGCCAGGCACCGAGCGCGCTCCACTGCTCGCAGAGTGCCTGTTCGCAAACGCCCAAAGGCCAGATGTTTGCCTCGATGTATGGAGTATGGAGCGTAAATCGCCCGCGCCCCTCCGTGAAGCAGGTTCTAAGAGCGTGAATTACCTCCCCCGCTTTCGCTTCCAGGAAAAACCAAGCCATACCACGCGCTTCCTCGTCAAGCGGCCTGACCAGTACAGGCTGCAATTTGGCATCGTTTGGTATCTCTTGGAAGCGAGGGTGGTCAAAAGCGAGGTAGGTTTGTTTGCCCCCTAGGTTCGGATGTTCGCACTGGGGGCGCCGGTGCCGCCGGGTCCCCCATGCTGGCCCAGCATGGGGGGCCCAGCGCCGACGCAAGGACTCCGCGCGGACCTCCGAGCGTTCGTGCTTGCGCCCTGTTTCAAGGGGCTCGAAGATCCCAGGTCCCAGACATGCTCGCGCCGTAAAATCGGGACGGAGGTTTCCGGCTATTTCCGGCCCTCCATGGGGGCCCTCGCCTGGCCTCGGGGCCGTCGACAAGAAGATTCGGGACGAAGGACCCGTCCCGGGGAAAGGGTCGGGACTTCAGTAGGGACGCCGCCCTGAGAACATCGGGACGGGACTTCCCGGGGGCGCCGCCCCGACAAAAGTCAGGGCGTCGCATGTCTGGGGTGGCCGCCGCCCTCTAGGGCTTGGCGGAGTGGGCAGGCCAAGTGCAGAACGTGCCGCGGTTCGCTGCGCGAGGCTGGCCAACAGTGCCGGTCGGCGGGCCGCGGGGGCGCACGGCTCCCCAGCCGCCCTGGGGCGTGCGCCCGCGACGGCGGAGGAGGCCGACTTCCCGCTGCCCTGCGCCCGCCGAGGGCAGCCTCTCCCCCCTCCTCCTCCCCCTCCTCCTCCTCCTCCCCCTCCCCCTCCTCCTCCCCCTCCTCCCCCTCCTCCTCCTCCTCCTCCTCCCTCCCCCCTCTCCCCTCCTCATCCTCCTCATCCTCCTCCTCCTCCTCCTCCTTCTCCTCCTCCTCCTCCCCCCTCCGCAGAGGCGGCCGCGGGGCGGGCCCGCATGGGCGCCGCGGCGTTCGCGTGCGTGCACGACTGCGTGCGCAGCGGCCACGAGGGCGCCGTCGAGGCCGCCGGCGCGCCCGGCCCGCCCAGGGCGGGACCTGCGCGGCGTTCTCGGTGATCTCGCGGGCCGCTGTCGTTTCGCCTGCGTCTGGCGGTGAATAGGGCGGGGTCGAGGCACGGGCGGGGGGAGACGAGAACAAGACGACAACGAAACACACCGGTTGGGTTCAGCCCCGTGGCCCGCCCCCCGGCGGCCCCTCAGGGCCGGCCTCGGAGGCCAGCTCTGAGGCTTCGGCCCGATGTGCGGGCCAAGCCGTCGGCGGCCCTCCGGCCGGCCCCATCGCGGCCTCCCCTGAGGCCCTGCGCGCTGCCACGCTGGTGCCTCTGTCAAGCAGTGGCGAAGCGTCCTGGCTCGCCTATAGGCCTGCCAAACAATGTTCTGAGAACCTTTTGTGGTTTCCACGCGATGTTCTTAGAACATTTCTGGCTGAGACCGTCTTGCTGTAACACATAGGGTTACTGTTCTAAGAACATTGCTTTTGTTTTTCGAGCATTTTGGGGTTCTAAGAACATTTCGTGGCAGGACTAAAGGAATGCCGGGACGGTCGGTCCCTGTTCAACTCTGGGCGTTGTCGCCCGGTTCCGGGCCCCATAGGGCCATCACGCATGTCGACCTGGCTCGGCGATGCTGCAGAAGGATGGGCTCTGGGGGCCTGGTCGTGATTTCGTCGCGATGCTCCCATGTCGACGCCGACGACGACAACCACGACGACGACGACGATGACGACGACGACGACGACGACGACGACGACGACGACGACGGCGGCGACGACGACGACGACGACGACGATGGAGACGACGATGGAGACGACGATGGCGACGACGACGACGACGACGACGATGGCGACGACGACGACGACGACGACGACGACGACGACGACGACGACGACGACGGTGGCGGCGACGACGACGACGACGACGACGACGATGGCGACGACGACGACGACGACGGGAAGCTCTGCTGCCGCTTCTGGCCTTGGGGGGCCTCCTCGCTTGGCCCTGGGAGCGTCTCGGGGGGCGGCAGGGATGGGGGTGACGACTAGGTTTATGATGCTCCAACCTAATGCGGGATGACGATTAATAAAAAATGGGAGAGAACGATTAAACAACTAGTTTTCTGCTATTTCTGCCTCATTTTCTGACTGGAGGAGAGCGATTAAAACATAGTTTTCCAGCCCGCGGCCAGTTTTGTCTAATCGTCATCCCGGGCGCCGCCGCGTGAACACGACCCCCGGTCATTTATTAATCGTCGTCCTCCATTACATTAGCCTTGATCACCAGGAAGAATTTCGAGCGCCCAAACAAGTACCGAAACTCAAAGGTTTTCACGTGTCGGGCCCTGAGAGACGCTCGCCCGACACTGTTTCGACACTGTTTCGACACTCTTTAAACACTTTTCCGGGTGCTCGAAATTATTTTTGGGATGCGGTCCTTAAGTAGGATGGGAACAACATAAGTCTAGGTGGGGGTAGATATGGCGCGGGCCATGAGATCTCCCCAGACTTCGTGACGCCTTTTCTTGTTTCATTACGTTCCTGGCCCCCCCCCCTGGGCCGCGCACATGCCGCTGGCCATGATTTGCCCCGGGAGTGCCTTGAAACGGCTCGGGATGAGGCGCCCGTGCACGGGGGAAGGGGGTCCCAGGCCTCCAGGGGGCCCACGCTGTGCAGCCACGGCGAGGCGCCTGTCCTGGCGCCTGGCCCGCATATCAGCCCAGAATCAGGAGGGGAAAAAACACACAGACACAACTAATCGTCGATCCCCAGGAAGATATGGAAAAATATGGGAAGTGGGGGGGAAGACAAAACCCCAGAAAATGTTAGAAAATATGGGGAATCCTTTTATTTGTGTATCTAGTTGTGTGTCACAGGGCCCCTTCACAAAAAGGGGTGTGCCCCGAGATCCTGGCGACGGGCGTGTTCGCAGATCGATCGGGCCCTGGGACCCTCACAGATCGATCGGGCCCGAAAAATGGCGCAGAAAGATGAGGTCCGGGGCTCCGGACGTGACCTTTTTTGCGATGTTGCAACTTTTCGCAAACGTCGGATCTCAGGGTGTGACCGACACAGGGATGTGGCCGAAAACGTGCCCGAAATTCTGACCGAAATGCAGTGTGACCGAAACTGGACATCGTATTGGCCTCGAGCCACACGTTTCGGCCACGCTCGGGCGTGTTTGGAGAAATTTCGGGCGCCAGTTTTGGTCACTCTCGGGCCGATTTTCGAGCACAGTTTCGGTCACGACGCCTCCCTGATACGGTGGTGGCGTTCGTTCAGGAATGTGTCCATGAGGCTGCAGACCCTGGAGGATTCCTTGTCTCATGAGGGCGGTGGTGATATCCATGGCCGATCCACGACTGGAGTTCCACCAGCTTCCAGACCCCAGACCCTGGATTCCCTATCTAAGGGTTCCTTGCCCAGTGCCCCCACGGTAGAGACGAGGCTACGTGACAAGGTGTGGACCCAGACGTGCGACGTCCTGACCTGTTCAACACGCGGTCCCAGGAAGTCTAGACTCTCTCCCCGGGATCGGTCTCTCCCTCCCGAGTCGCTCTTTGACGGCCCCGGGGCCCCGGCGAGGACCGGAAGGGAGGCCGAGCACGGCGAGAGACCTGCGCCCCGATTTCTTCTTCTGCGACCCGATCATCTCTGGGGGCGAGGCTACGCGTCTAGGCCTCCTAGATGGGGTCGGAGCAGATGGCGTCGAAGGAACGCGCCGCATGTCCGATGCATCGCCGAGACGTCGCCGATACATCGCCGAGGCATCGTCGATGCATCGGCGGCGTTCGCGATGCATCGGCGAGGCGTCTGCGTGGAGAGCGTCGGAGGCCACATCGAGCCGCACATCGCCGATGCATCGGCGGTGCAGCGCGATCCTCCGACCCCGGCTGCTCGGACCCCATCTGGGACCCAGGCATGCGACGTCCTGATTTTCTCCACACGCGGTCCCCGACCCTTTCCCCCGGGCCGGTTTGTTGTCCTGAGTCGTCTTTTGACGGCCCTGGGGCCCGGCGAAGGCCCCCAGGGGCCTGAAATGGCGAAAAACCCTCGTCCTTATTTTTGTTACGACGCGATCATGACTGGGGAGGCAAGGGCGCCCACGAGGGCGCGAAGTTATTCGCGCCTCGCGGTCCTCGCTCCTTCTCCCCCTGCTCCTCGTCCTCCCTTTCTCCCTTTGGGGGGGCGGCGCGAGAGCGCGAAGTGATTCGCGCTCTCGCGCTTCACGGAGCGCGCAGCGCGAAGTTGGGAGCCCCTAGGGGAGGCATCTACACCTTAGGCGATGCTTAAGAAAACCTAAGTTTTCGGCCAGAGTCTCGATTATTCTTAACGTTTCAATGTAAATCTTAAGATTTTAGCAGAAAGGTTGGGTTTTTTATTCAAGTTCTGAGACTATGAATTTCTTAACCCAGGATTTCTTAGGCATTTCGCAGGGTGTAGCGTGACACGCTGTGAAGCCAGGGCGTCATCTGTGCTCTGGGCCCAGCGGCCGCCGGTGGCCCCCCCCGGCGGGCCCTCAGCCCTGCCGCTGCTGGAGGCCGGGGCAGCGGCGCGGCGGTCGTCGTCGTCGCCGTCCTCCTCGTTGCCGGCGGCGGCGAGGGGGAGGAGGAGGAGGAGGAGGAGGAGGAGGAGGAGGAGGAGGAGGAGGAGGAGGAGGAGGAGGAGGAGGGGGACCCAGACATACTCGCGCCGTAAAAAATCAGCACGGACAGCGCTCGTCGTTTTCGGCCTCTCGGGGCCCTCGCTGGGCCCCGGGGCCGTCAGAAAACGACTCGGGAAGGAAGGCTGGTCCCAGAGGACCTCCGGGGACTCCAGGCGCCATATTGAGAAATTCAGGACGTCGGATGTCTGGGGAGGCCCCCTGCAGCAACGATCTGTCATGTTCTCCCTCGCCGCCTCTCATCTCCTCAGCCATGGCAGCATATTGCCACGACCGTGCTGTAATGCAGGAGTGTGCCGCCCTCAAGGCGAGAGATGCCTGCCACAGCTTCGGGCCGAGGTCTGGAGAGTGCAGGAGGCTGGCTGCAACGTGATGGACCGACCTGCCCTCGGGCTTCGGAGCCTTGGCCTCAGGTTCCACGCGCTGGAGCGCCTGGCATCGCTCGGGCGTGTGCATTTCTTCCCAGCGAGGGCCATCATGGACCATCTTTGCAAAAGGTAGATATGCGAGGATCATCATGGATCATCTTGGACCACCTTCTTCTCGGCGAGGATCATCTTGGATCACCTTGCGAAAGATATGCGCGCGACGCCGACGAGTTCACGGGGAACGGACGCCATAGCGATGGCAAGAGCGAGGTGATGCCGCTCTGGGCTCCAGCGACGGACGGGGTGCGGCCCCACCGCTGGGGTGCGGCCCCACCGCTGGGGTGCGGCTCCCAGCAGGCGCACCTCCCAGCAAACTCGTTCATTGCTGGTTTCGTGCTTTCGTTGCCGCGCCATCGACTGCTATCCGCATCCCTGAGATCAGCGCGTGCCATGTTCTTCGTTCCGGGTGCTTTCGCCTGGCTGTTCGGGCCCCAGGATCATCGCAGGTCGATCTATGTCTCGAAATTAGCAGCAGAAAGATGGGGTCTGGGGCTCGGGTCGTGATTTCTCGCGAGGTCTCACTTGTTTCGCAACGTCGGGTCTCCGGGATTGCCGTCGGTCCGCTGGAAAGAGCGCGGTGCGCTTGGGCCGCAGCCAGAGCATACGTACACATTTCCTTTGTGTATCTCGGTTGTCCAGAGCCCCCCATGCAGGTCCAGCTATGTCTGGAGAGTCGGATGCTCGCAGGCGTGGCCTCGCTGGTGCCGCGCTGCATGTCGACTGCGTAGCTGCGCGGGTTGCAGTGCCGACTGCCTCGCAGACTGCAATAGCGGTGGCTTCGTCGAAGGCCGCGCCGACAACGCGCCGAGGAGCTCGTCGAGGGCTGCGCCCGCAACGACGATGATCTCGGTACTAACGAAGGTATCGACTGTTTTTCGACGGCTGCGCCGGCTACGGCATCGGCAGCCTCACCGACGGCGACACCGATGGTCTTGCCGAGGGCTGCAGCTGCGCCGACCGCGGCACCAACGGAGGCAACGATCGTTTTTCCGACAGTTGGGCTGACTACGGCCCCGTCTGCCTCGCCGGCCGCGACGCTGGCGACCTCATCGTCGAGGGCTGCGCCGACAACGGCTTGGCTTCGAGCGCGGCACCCGCGAAGGCACCGAACGCTTCGTCGACAGCTGCGCCGACCACGGCACCGAGAGCCTCGCTGCATGTTGCACCGACGGGCTCGTCGATTGATTGCAAAAAAAACAAACGATTGCAAAAAAACAAACGATTGCAAAAAAAAACCCTTGCACGAAGGATTGCAAACAAAAACCAAAAAAAACAAACGGGTTTTTTTTGCAATCCTTCGTTACGCTGACACCTGACTCCGAGCGCAGCCCCAGCGATGGCCCCGACTGTTCCGCCGACAGCTGCGCTGGCCACGGCGCCGACAGCCTCGCCGAGTGCGACACCGTCGGCCTCGTCGAGGGATGCGCCGACAGCCTCGCCAATCGCGGCACCGAGGGGGGCACCGCCTGTTCCTTTCTCTTTGTCAGGCGCGCCATCTACAGCTTCGGCAGCTTCGCCGATCGCGGCACCGACCGACGACCTCGTCGACGGCCGCACCGACAGGGACGCCGAGATCGGCGCCAGCGAAAGAACTAACGGCTTCTCGGACCCTTCCGCGAACTCATGCTCCGACGGCATCGCCGACCGCGACACCGACCGCCTCGCCGAGGGCTGCGCCGGCGGACGCCGAGCGCGACGCCATCGAAGGCTGCGACCGCTTCGCCGGCAGCTGCGCCGCCCGCTGCTCCGACGGCCTTGCCGGGGGGGGGCTGCGCCGACAGCGGCGCCGACCCTGGCATGCGGGAAAGCACCGACCGCTTCCTCGGCAGCTCCGCCAGCTGCGCCATGGGCAGCCTCGCCAGCGGCGGCTGCGGCGGCCTCGACGGGGGCTGCGCCGGCAGCGACGTCGAGCGCGGCACCGACGGGGGCGCCGACGGATTCATCATCAGTTGCACAGGCTGCGGCACCGACGGCCTCGCCGACTGCGACGCCGACGGCCTCGTCGAGGGCTGCGCCGGCGTCGACGCCAGGCTGGGCGCGAGCGAGGGGACCCGCTGCCTTTTCGCCAGCTGCGCCGGCCATGGCGCCAACGGCCCAGTCGCAGCCTCGGCGACCCGGCCTGGTGATGGCCAGAGTTGTTTCGCCTCTCCTGGCCCCGGTGGTGTGGGGGCGTCCCTGCTCTCGTCGTCGGCTCCTCCGCAATTCTCGTGCCCGTCCTCCTTCTCCTGCCTGTCCTGCATCTGCCGAGCCTGCCTGGTGCCGGTGAGTGAAGGAAAAAGATGGGGACGACGACGACGTCGACGACGACGACGTCGACGACGGCGAAGACAACCGCAACGGCGTCGAAAACGACTGCGACACCGACGGCGACGACGACGACGATGGCGATGGCGACGGCGACGATGACGATGACGACGACGACGATGACGACGAAGACGGCGGTGGCGGCGGCGGCGGCGGTGGCAACGATGATGACGATGACGACGTAGATGACCATGACGACGATGCCGACGACGACGACGACGACGACGACGACGACGACGACGGAGGCGACGACGATAACGACGTCGACGACGACGTAGACGATGACGATGGCGACGGTGACGACGACGACGCCGACGACGACGACGAGGACGATGACGACGACGACGACGACGACGACGACGGAGACAGCGACAGCGGTGGAGACGTCGATCGCGACTGCGACGACGGCGACGGTGACGTCGACGGCGACGACGTAGACGACGGCGGTGACCCTCCACCCCCCTCTGTGCAGGTCGCGGGGACGCCCGGGAGGCCGTCGTCCTCCTCCGCGCCCGCTGGCGACGGCAGTGAGGTGCCCGCTCCCGGGGGGGGGCACCACAGGCTGGCGGCTGCAGCAGACCTCCTCCTCTCCTCCTCCTCCTCCTCGTCCTCCTCCTCCTCCTTCTCCTCCTCCTTTTCCTCCTCCCCCTCCTCCCCCTCCTTCCCCTCCTCCTCCTCCTCCCTCCTCCTCCTCTTCCTCCTCCTCCTCTGCTCCTCCTCCTCCTCCTCCTCCTCTCTTCCTTTTCCTCTTTTTTCTCCTCCTCCTTTTCCTCCTTCTCCTCCTCCTCCTCCACCTCCTCCTCCTTCTCCTCCTCCTCATCTTCCTCCTCCTCCTCCCCGACCCAGATCTGAGGAGCAGTCCGGCGATCCGCCGTGCTCTAGTTGTTGAGTTCTCGACGAGACGTAGGAGTGGCCCCCCCGCGGCCCCCAAGAGACCGCACACCAGAGGTCACTCTTGCCGAAGTTCGACTTGAATTTGTATCCGAAGTGTGCTCAACGATGGCGAAATCGCTTAAAGTAGCATTCGGAGTCAGTGGGGCGGATACGGTCCGGATCTTTTGATTCGCGTGTCGCGCCGCCCGTTCGGGCACACCACGCTTCGGGGCGACACGCAAACGACGTCCCAGTCCTCAAGAATTAACGTCCAGAGGTTTTCCCATTCTCCCGCTCCGCGGAGCGGAGCGACACGCTATGCGGAGAGCTCAGGGGGAAACATTTATGAGGGCGCGGGCCGAAATTTTGGTTGATCGAATTAAATTTCTAGACGCTTCGCGTAACCCCACCAGGGCCCTCCTCCGCCCCTTCCTCTGGCCCGCTTCACTCGGGTCGACTCGTCCGCTGGCATATGCCCAGTGGCTTCTGCATGTTAATTTTCTGGCATTGCCGTGCACTCCCTTCAGCGGCCTACGTGCCACTGCAGCCAATTATCTCGCTCTGTGCCCCAGAACGTTATTCCCGCTCGCTGGATCTGTCCTTCGAGCCGCCGAACAAAAAAAAAAAAAAAAGGAAAGGGAGAGCCCTGCCGCAGAGGAAAAGGTCAAGGCTTGGGGTAGGTGGCTGGTCAAAGAAGGAAGAGCCCATGGGCTCAGACCGCCTAGCGCAGACGAGAGGGCCCGGGCCACTGGCCTAGCGGGATATTACCGTGGGTTTGGAATAAACGGCAGGGCGCTATACGACGCTGTCGGCATACATTTCGGCCCGCGGTGCCTTCAGCGCAGGGTGGCAACTGCGATGCAAGCCTGGAGGGCGGGAGAACACAGTGCTATGGCCCGGACCACGGTCCCCACGGGCGCGCAGATAGCAAGAGCATGGGTAACAGCACTAACCTGTGCAGGGAGACAGTGCCCTTGGGCACAGCTCCGAAACCACCCATTCCCAGACGACATCGCAGAGCAGATGAGACGCGAGGAAGTCCTTCTCCCAGAGATGCCGCGCCCCTAGACTCTACCAGGGATCCCAATACGCTCCACAGAGCGTTGGGGTCCCCTCCCCAGCACCTGCGAGTTCCGGGAATTCGCACACGCGCCTGGGACCAGGCACGTCGCGCTTTCAACGAGGCACTGGAGGAAAGGTGTCACCACAAGATTCGCGCTCCACGGAGCCTATGGGCACTGTTGCACCGTGTGCCCTGGACGCACCCCACATGGGACGACTTGTGCGGCGCCCTCTCCCTTGACGATGTGATGCGCGCTCTGAGCGCCACCCCCCATACCTGCCTCCCCAGGTTTTCCAGCTGGAATGTTAGGTACCTCAGAAGCTGCACCGCCAACAAGAACCAGGTCAAGCACGCCCTGTTAACGCAGGTCACGATGAACAACAGGATCGCCTTCACTCAGGGAACCCATTGGTCCGAACATGAGACCGAGGTGTGGAAGACCATGTTCCCGGCACGAAAGGTTGCCTCCCCAGGATTCCTCGGGCTTGCGGGAGGACTGGCTGGTGGGGTAGGGATCCTCCTCCCCCACGGAACCCCCCTCCTGGATCAGCAAGACATGGTTCCGGGCTGCGCAGTAGCCGCGGTAGTGCAGCAGGGCGAAAGGAGAATTCGCCTTGTGTCCATCTACCTCCCTCCCACCAGGAAGGAAGAGACCCTTGCGGAGATAGCCTCGGCGTCTGAACAGTGGGGGCCACTAGACACCTACTGGGGCGGAGACGTCAACCTGCAGCTTCAACACCCGAGAGACGGAGAGGTAGAAGCTGCCGCCCTGCTTCAGGACATCCTTACCAGCTCCAGCTCCGTTGCCATTCACATGCGCGGCCCAACCAGGATTGATAAGGACAGTGAGTCCCAAATCGACATGTGTGCCTGCCCCGTCAGCCACATCCACGCTTATGACCCCCGGAAATTGTGGAGGCTCACCCCGTCAGATCATGCCCTCATTTCCCTTGATCCCCAGGGCGCAAGGAGAGCTAGAAGGGACGACACCATGAAGGCGGCTGATCTGAGGAACCTTCCAACCGCTGCGCACGTGGAGCTTCGTCGGATCTACGCACATCTAGAGACCCTCTTCGGCGTGCCAACCGTGAACCTCAGCGGCCTGATCCAGCCCTCAGACTGGATTAGGCCGGCCCGCCCAGGCGGGTTCCCCGACCATCATCCGGACAACAGCGGTGGCGACGCCTCTCGCTTGCCCAGCGACCCGGCTCCAGTACCGAGAGGGCCAGATGACCTGACGCTCATCCCCCCAGTACTCCCCACCCCCATGAGGTTTGGGAGGCACGCCCTCTCCTCGGCCCTACAGGACTGGTGGAAAAAGTGAAAGTCGCACAGAACGCGGTCCTCCCCGGGGCTGCTGCTGGCGGCAGCCAGTCAGAGACAAGAAGTCACACGCCCGGTGGGGGCCCTGGCAGCCTGCTTGCATGAGCACGGATGGGGCGGACACGACCTAACTCCAAAGCAAGCAGGGCTCTGGCTCAAGACCTGGGGCGCCGAAGTCACGCAGAGAAGGGCGGCGCGCCTATCCCCTGTCCAGCGAGGCCCAGGAGCAGAACGTCCCCCCCTCGCAGCCCATTACCGGACTAGGCGGGAAAAATATAAAAAGACCCATGCCATCCTAGGCGTGAGGGACCACAACGGCGCCTGGCATGACAGGCCCAACCAAGTGGATAGAGTGCTGTGGGACAGCCGCAGCTCGATTTTGCATTCCGCCCCCCCTCTGCCTAGCTCGGCTGGCCGGCTCCTTGACCAATGCTTTTCGGGGCACCCTGGCACTGACATCCCCAGCCGGCCCACGCCCGGGTGGGCAAAGCTTGCGGCCACCGTCCCCGCCCCCAGCGGGAGCGCTCCAGGGGTTGACGGAATTCCTTGCGAAGCCTTTCACCCTGGCGCAAGGTTCGTCGCCTGCCTCCTTGCCCAGGCATGGTGCGCAGCGGATCTCGTCCCCACCCCCATCGAGGAGGCACTGGGGCCCTCAGTAGACCTTCTGGTCTGGATCGGGAAGAAACCGGGCGCAGAAGGGCCCAGCGACGTGAGGCCACTTCAACTCCCCACCTGCATTTGGCGTCTCTACGGCGCGTCCTTGGCCGACCTACTGGGCCCAGTCGTCGAACCACTCCCAAGCCCCAATCCTGCGGCCAAGAGAGGGGGACAGCGTGCCCCAACATCACCAAGGTCACGCAGCACTTGAGTGCTACCCCCAAGCCACCAACAGCACTGGGTCCTGGGTGGGCCGCGCTTCTCGGTCAGCATCACGCGGTAGTGGAGGGCTACATCGAGCGTACTGCGACCGGGTTGGGCGAGGCCCCCTGCACCGCCGTGATCTTCTGCGACCAGAACAAAGCATTCGAAAGGACTTCGCTTCAATGGGTAGGCGCCATCCTACGGAGGTGGGGGCTCCCCACGTGGTTACTCAACGCCCTAAATGCTTCGGTGATCGAGCGGAAGGTGAAGACGTGTAAGGGAAAGTACAAAGACCCAGAGCGCCGCCTACTTAGGTCTGTCGGCATGGGGGGCACCGCCTCCCCCCTCCTGTGGAGTTTGGGATATGACCCACTCATAAGCACCATTTCATCCATCACAGGTGATGATCGTGGCCCCATCCGGTGCACACACTACCGGCGCGTCTGCAATTGCGCGTTCAAGACGGCGCTCGTACCCGCAGGAAACCAAGGATGGTGGCGCACACTCATGGATCATAGCCCCTTTGGAGGGTCGGCGGTGAGGGAGCAATGGCCGTGCCTGGGGGCAGTAGTAGTATCCCGCGCAGCAGAAGGCGACGAACCCCCGCGGAGCGGAGGCCTCACCAAGGAACAAGAAGAGGTCCTACGCAAGGGCACGTGGAACCGCCCCCCCCCCCCCCCCAGAATTAGGGAGAGATCCCTTGCGCTTCACCTTGCCAAAATGTCCCCATCCAAGACGGCCGCTGCGTGGGGCGCCTACCTGATTTCCCTGGCCCCGTACGCTGCGCACTACGCCCCCCCGGGCGCGGCGCAGGAGCGTGAACTATGTGCCCAACTGAGAACTGCCCTCGGGCTGGCCAGGGCCTCATGGGTCCCTGACATAGTCCTGACCGGGCTCGGCATGCGCTTCCAAGTGCAGGGCGCCCCCAGGTGCCCGGCAGCAACAGCTCGCGCTGTCGCCGCAAGAGCGTTCGCCCTCGGGGACTTCTGGGGGCCCTGCACACTCCGGAAGCGGGCCAGCATCAGATGGAACAAACTGTTGAATTGGAGTGTCCTGGCAGCCCGGGACCCAGAGGCGCACCCCCCGCGGCCGAAGATGATCACCGAGCGAAAGGCTGCCCAGGCCTTACTCGCTGCGAGACAACGACCCCTCCTACTGCAGGGCAGGCAATGTGGCAGGATTACCTACGCGGCGGCCTGGGTCCAGATGAACAGTCATCATTTCACCACTTGGCTCCAAACAACTAGCCGAGGGAGAAGATGGCAGCCATTTGTGGGGGAGGAGTGGCAGGTACTGCGGTACTGCGCCACCTTCACCTGTGCGTACCACGTGCTAAGGGTGCTCAGCAACGGCCTCCCAGGCCCGGCAAGGCGCAGGGGGAACGACGAAATAATACCCCACAGATGTCCCTG